TTGCTTCTGCCTCGCCATTCTCTTCTGGAAAGATGGCTGTTTGGAGAAGGGGGAGAAGTTAGGGGGTCGCCGACTCGGGGCGAAGGAGGGCGCGACCGGCTCAGCCCCTGCGGGCGGAGGTGAGTGGTATCACAGCCCGGTCCCTGGCTGATGTTCGGGGAAAGCCCTGGGAATTGGGGACCAAGGGTCCTTCGGATGCGCGGTTCAGTTTTCCTGCCGGGGTTCCCCAGGTTAACAGCATCCCAGTCCGGACTCCGACGCCCCTTTCCTTCCATCTCGTAACCCAGAGGTTGGTGGGTTTGCTAGAACCCCTGTCATAAGTTCGGTGCCCAGTGATCTTTGGTCGCAGACCCAGACATCTGCTAGGCAAGCCGAGGCAGGGATGGTGGCATTACCTCCCCCCTCCCTACCACACACCCAGTTTATGTTGGAACTGAGTTATGAATGAAAAGTTTGTGCTGCCAACGTGTTGCTTGAGGGAACAGTACTTAGTGTGGGGGGGGGAATTTTGCCGGTTCCGGGGGGCAAGTCCAAAGCGATACATCGGAATACTGGGTTTTCAGAAAAGTTCCGGTGTTTGGGGGATGGGAGATAAAGCAGCTCGTCGGCTAGTGGAAAGAGTGGTGAATCGTAAGCTCATTAAGATATCTTGGCTAATCAAACGCCACCGAGGGTTTCCCGGTGAGGACTTAAGGAGGAGAGGACGGGGGCGTTCCCGGAGCGCCCAGCGGGCAGCGTTTGTTTGGCTTTGAAATCATCGCCCACTTGTCCACAGCGAGAGGTGCTGGTGTCAGAGGCCTGTATGCCCGCGTTGTGGTAGAGTGGACCCGGCTGCTCTCCAGATCCCAGGAGAGGTCCTCAGGAGAGGTGGCCTGTGGTAGGGCGCGGAGGATGCGGTTCATGTGATGTGGTGTGGGAAATTCTCTAGTGAGTCTCCTGTGCTCTAATTTCAGGAAGATCTATCACGTTTGTTTTTCCTATTAGGGAGGTGTGTGTAAACCCCTAATAGGAACTTCCCGATCAAGTAACTAAAACAAATTGAAATCTGTGAGAAATGGGACAGCTACATATATCTCATTATACATTATACGTATACGTTAAATGTATGCATAGGTGCATGGGCAATAGGGAAGCAGGGTCAAAGGGGCTTAAAAAGTTAACTTCCGGACAAGAAAGCAGAGAGTTAATTTTTCCTCCCCCAAATAGTATA